CAAAAAATGGAGTTGTTCTGAGGCTCTAATGAATGAATCGGGAAGACGGTTTATCAGATGGCCGTATCCGATAGACAACACACTGTTTCTACCGCACGTCGGGCTCCCTGGTGATCCGTTCCAGGAAGTACGAAGAACAAAATGAACTCACCTTGTCAGCACTACAATATTGCAGAAATTGGCAACTGTTCCAAATATGCACATTATAATTGATAAATATGTATGGATCGGTTTGTAGAAAAGATGCACTTCCCTGAAAACAGCAATATTTGACAGACATTCCACAACAATTTCAATGGTGAGCAAAGGAAACTGCCTCGTTCTTTTGCGCCCTCTTCTTTATCGTCTCTTAGAAGGATGGCCATATAAGTGAGATTCAGACCATGCCGTGTGGCAGTACTGCCGAAGAGGGATTTCTATTAGGTCATCCCATTCAAACTGGCCGCTACATATAGAGGAATGGCAGAAAAGCAAAGGGGATAGAGCAGCGGGCTACTATACCATTTGGAAGCTAGTACCTTAAGCTGTGTATCTGTGAAATTTGGCGAACCTAGCCCCAGAAGAAGTTCTCGAGAAATTGAAAAGAAGCCCGAGTGGTGAAAATCGGCGCCGGTTTTTCAAATCAGACGTCATAAGAGGAAAGTGCGCCGCTCAAATTTGACCTGCGCGCCGGACCATAGTTGGTGTGCAAAGGGGTGCCCGTACAAGTGAAGGAAGGAAAAAATATTGGTTGTCGTGGATGTCCCATAATATTTATCCTGCACAAAAACGGGTGGATGAAGTCAGGCACTGAATATCTGATCACAGAGCCTGGACCTTTGTCGGGTTTCCCCGCGAGACTGACATCCCTGCTGCAATTACTGTACGTGTTATGACCGATAAACTGAGGATGGTCAAGGGGGTGTGCGCATGGGTACCCAATTTTCTTATAGAAGCACGAACGCAGTACCGATTCTATACCTCTAGCAGTAATGTTCTCAGCATGAGATGTCACACAACTGTGAAAACGCACCGGCCGGGCGCTTAGATGAAATATGGGTGTTCTCGGACCTCGAGCCGAAACTCACAATCGTCAATTTTGTATGAATGCAGATGAGAAGCCGCCCGAGTTCTACCATGAAGAGTTACGTGGGCGCAAGTGGATGATCATCATAGCAAAGGATTCCCACACTGTGGCTTTCAAGCGGCTCTATACAGAGGACAAATCCGTCACTGTCGGTGCATATTGCCTGTTCCTCGGCATTCAGATCGACAAATGGATGGTACCACACAACTACAAGAAGGCCACCGTTGCTCGTCATAGTACCAGACCCCGAGTAACTGTATTGTAGATCAGTGCTGGGACACAAACAATACTGAGACCTGGGTTCAATCGCCCCATTCGCCCGTCATAAAGCCATGCGATTACAACTGTTCTATTCAGTTGAGAGTACTCTCCGACGGCAGACGCTACAATGTTTTGTCATTTGCCGAAATTGGCAACAACAGCAATTTACCCACACTTGTTGAAAAATCGAAGGTACCAGAGGTCCAAAGGCCCTCGGGGCACTGGGAGCGGGTCATTGTAAGGAGGGATTTTACTCATCCTAAAGCTAAAATATCACTTTTCTATCTATTCTCCTCTTGTTTTATTCAAAAAACCAGCGGCCAGTTTGAATGGGATGACCTAATAAAAGACCTCGAATTGCTGAAAGAAACTTCTTCAAAGATTATCTATGGAGTCATCGTAACTAAACATACCGTACATACATGTGAGAACACTGAATCCACTCCACTATTCCGTGCATGGTTAGCACTAACTACGCCACGGAAATACTCGCAAGCACTCCCTCATGGAATCCTTGTCATCTTTCAAAAAATGGAGTGGTTCTGAGGCTACAGCGAGTGAATCGGGAAGATGGTTTATCACGCCGTCTCCGATAGCAGTTTTCTACCGCAAGTCGGGCTCCCTGGTGATCGATTCCAGGAAGTACGAAGAACAAAATGAACTCACCTTGTCAGCACTACAATATTGCAGAAATTGGCAACTGTTCCAAATATGCACATTATAATTGATAAATATGTATGGATCGGTTTGTAGAAAAGATGCACTTCCCTGAAAACAGCAATATTTGACAGACATTCCACAACAATTCTATAGGTGGAGCAAAAGGAACTGCCTCGTTCTTTATTGCGCCTCATCTTAAGTGTCTCTTAGAAGGATGTCCATATAAGTGAGATATCAGACCAATGCCTGTGCATTGGAAGATATTGGAGAACCCCGGCGGGGAAAGGGGGTCGTATCTGGTCGCTGGAAGGAGGGGAAGGAATTTTTTGGGTTGTACAATTTTTTCCATTTCCCCAGCTTCATTTGCGCTATATACCCTGCCCCGCCTGCTCGTGAAAGCACTTCTCGGGAGCGAACGGGAATTTCAGGAGGATAAGTCCGGAACAGTGGTAGATAGTTGGAAGAATTAGAGGTACAAGAGGAGGAGATTCCGAAGAGGAGGTTTAGTTCTCACAAAAAATGCGCTTCTGATGGTGAACTTAGGAAGATGTCATTCCGAATATGACTGAAAGTTAAACAACTCACCGGAAAAAGTCATAAACGACACTGTGATTAGGCAAGTGCACGAGTACGGTCTGGCATTGATCAGCATCCATTTTGCTCGATTTTTGGTTCTCAATGGCTTTGCAATCGCATCTGTAACGATGTAATGGCTTAATGAAGCTATTCACAACGGTAGCGATGGATGTTCGTACGAATGCGTGGGCATGTATAAGCGAGTTACCGTCAACAATTATAAAGATATTTATGGCAAGTCAGTGGAGGAGAGTTTCTGAAGAGAAAAACGACAACGGAGACGAGAATGGACGACGACGGTATTTATAGCAGTAAATGAGATGGACACGAGAGGAAACTGAAGGGCACTCGACGTTAATATTCTGAACGACGCGACGAAAGCTATTCCAGTAATCAAACTGGTCGACTCACGCAAGAAAAAACAAAACGGGTCATAATTTGCGCTGGTTTTTTGTGGCTCTCATCGTCAGTGCATTGCATCCTTTGAAAGGGGAGGGCGCAGCTGCGTAGTTCAACTGAAATCACCACAAAACTGAGTGACAGTCGTCGTCTCAAGTGAAAATGTCGCAAGAGGAGCATATCCTACGCCATATACAGTTGAAGTACGCAGCCACGCCTTCTTCACTTCCGGGACATATGGAGCAGATGCTTTCCAAGCACTTATGAAAAGGAACTGACGTCACGGCTAAATTTTCGTCTTCGGGCTTTTCCCTTTCAAGTGCGGAGATCCGCTAATACACTTGAAAATAAATCCTGCAATTTTGTGAGAAAGGGACTGCTTCTTCATAAGGAACTATGGTCGGCGCAAGCGTCACCATATACGGTGTTCTAAATCCGCCAATCGCCAGCCTGGCTAGGAAGCTGCAATAGCCAGAAACATCTCCCATTCGAAGTACCAATTCCAGTAAACGTGCGAGTGCTGCATGGCATGGCAATCAAATTTCGCTCCAGCACGCATCTGTCTGGTGTTCCTCTGAGCGTCTCTGCTTCTCTATTCGTCTCATAGCTGTCCAGTATAGACAATCAAGCGCCCCCACTAGAGGCTTTTCTACGGTTTTTTCTGTACTTTCTTTTTTGCTAAGTCAATACAAGGTGTTTATCAGTACCTACTGTAGTTTCGCTATTGAACAGTTGCCTTTGATGCGCCACTCTTTCTACTTTATTTAGGAGTTTGAGGACTCTCAAAGGAAGCCGCACCTGGATTAAAAAGTAATTGTGACTCCCAGGAAAACCATGTTGTTTCATGTCATGTTAGGCTACTTGACATACCCATACTGATCCCTCACCTGATAGGGCGTGTGCGGCGCGTTGGAGCCCAGCCAGGGCGGCCTTGTTCCAACAATGGTAACATCCTGAGTCCACTAAAACTGGTGGAGACCCGATCTGGCCGCACTCTGAGCCATGCCCTCGTCAGGCATCCAATCGTTGAGGGACTTTGACCGTAGGTGAACTAAATCCGCATGTCATTGCCCAATAAACACCGCGGTCTTTTGCATTCATTTAATCTTTTCACTTTTTCAATCTTTGACGAAATTCAGTATAGCATTGACTCCACCTACCACAACCAACCGCTTACGCCTACCTGTAGCAGGTACAAGGGCTCCCAGGAAGTGCAGCTAAACTTGTACATGAACTAGAAGATGCTAATTTATCCGATCCGGTTCTACGTAATATCCGGGGACGATAACTGCTTGGAAATGCTCAATTAGGGAAAAGTGCATATTCAGCACTAGTAGCATGAAAACAACATTAACAACTGAGTTCCAGGATATCCGTATTAACGGAGTTTCGGATGATCGTGGATTCGGATTTCCTGAACTTGAAGGCCCGCTAAACGCTCTCATTGGGGCCCTTGAAGGCCCCAATGAGAGCGTTTTTATCACGCTTTTTGACCGTACAGCCGGATCTCAAAGGAACATAGGAAAATATAAGGAATGCCTCAGTTTGAGGGCAAGTAGTAATTACTATGCATTCGCTGTCCAAGATGTGAAGTGGAAAACCATTGCGGATCTTTGCTCACACGAGAATGGCAGTATTGCTGGCTGAGGGGTATTCCAAAAATTGAGCTCCGCGAAGCTTCGCATTCTGAGATAAGGAATCACCAATAAAAGACAGTGTGGCGAAAAGTGGTGCCGTCGAGTATGAGCACTGAACGGGTGTCTAATCCTATAATGTTTCCGCCCATAAAAGGGTAAAGGATAAAACTTTGGCCGTTAACCGGTCCCTTTCATCCCTTTTTGATGAAGCATACATTCTACTTCTCTACGGATCCGTAATGGCCTAATGAATCCGACATGGTCTATACATGGACTTGTGGGGGCGATCCAATCAAAATCAACAATTCAGTGTTTCATCCTGGCAGATGAGACTGGCCCCAATTTGCCCTGGAGGATAGAAGTCTTGGCTGGCTGGGTTGCGCGAACCTTTCTAGAATATGACCTTCCCAAGCGTTGAGCGGCTCATTGTCACTAAATTAAGCTCCACAGTTTGCGAGTGTCCTTCCATGTCAAAGAAATAAACCATCCCACATAGGCAATCTCATCCTCACTTCGGGGTGGGTGGAAACGAACTTAATCTCACACCGAAATGCCCTCAAAATCCGTTGTATAGAGCAATTGGCAATCAAATGCTTCTATGATCCCAAACTGGAATGGAATGCGCGGCTCAAACAATGATTGATCGGCCCCAAGTGTTCTATCCGAATCATTTATCATGGCACCCTACACGACTAGTTGTAACTATCTAAGTCGCCATAACTAAAAAATTAAAGTATCGAAGATTAAGGATGTACACAAGTGAGCAAATAGATAGGTTCAAGTAACTGATCGATGGAAATTCTGAACAGGAAAAGAAACTGCTGCTAGACTCAAGCTCATTCATAAGTGTTCTTGCCCTTTGTACAACCCAGATAGTGGAGATGGAAAGAGCTCTGCTATGAATTTTATGTGGATGCGGTGTAGCTTTTTCCTGAGGTGATTCCATTTGTGATAACTGCCACTCTGTATTGTTCTTGACAGAGGCTTAGTTGCAGTTGTCGTAAAATGGCACATTTCACTGAAAGCCCAGTCTTCACCAGGTTCAAAAGAAATATGTAGCCACTTCCTCATCTATCCCCAATATGGTATGTATAGAAGATCCACCTGCCCTCATTTCTGAAAGCTTCCGGTAAATCCAATATAAAATGTTGGCAGAAAAATGCCCTGCAAGCGAAAGGCGTTCCGTACAAGTTATACCGGAGAGCTATGCACTGGGAATTATCATAACCCATAAAGATGGAATTATAATTGAATGATAAAGTCGTCACCGTTAATCAATCCGTTTCTGACATGCGGACACTCATTCCACTTCCATTCAGGATCACAGTGGCTTACTAATTGCCTATGGCCAGGGCTTACTAAATGCTCCGGGATCGCTTCTGGACCGCGCACGTGGTAAACGTGCCACTTGCCACTACACAACCTCCTCCTCGTTTGTATGAAATAATACCATGAAAGTAGACGCGAAAAAGAGCAAATAGCATAAGGGATTTTCTGTAGTTGGTGCAAACCAGTTGAAATAGAAATTTCTGGGAAGTGGTTGGGTCACCAGGAAATCCGTGTTTCGGCCATACGCAGAGCCTGACTCCTAACTAGTTGTGCCAGCTCGTCGCCCTGTTTTCACGTCAGTTATATTAGGTCTTGGTGCAAATGCCGCGCGTGCGACAATGCCGCTTCTAATGTGTTGCCGTAACTCGGATCACCTGGTCAACATGGAGCCGTTTTCGTTCACCTTAGAATTGTTTCGATAGTTGTCCAACGGGCCATATTTCATTCTATTCCAAAAGAGTTTCTCATGCTCCAGAGGAGGGAGCTGCACTTTCATTTCCGATATTCGATTTGTTATTCGTCCAAAAACTTCTATTGAAAAGTTCGAGGGAGAAAATAAAAAAATCAAATAAAAGATGAAGTATCAGGCATTGGTCAGCCATGTTACGCCGACAGCCACGGTAGCCTAGGATACAGGAGCCATCCGGTTTTTACGCAACTGTGATTTTGTTCCCAGACAAAAAGGTCTCAAGGATTCTTCATCCCAGGAAGTGTGGGTTGCTCTTGAAGGTATTCCATCATAGAACTGAGAGTGCTATAACTATAATCCTCCTCAGCGTTGCCTAATCTCTGTATACTTGCAGGATAATGAAAGCTCTTTTATACTTTGCGGCAGCCGTAGCTGCCCAGGCGGCGTACGAGACTGAGCGCACGTAGACGTAGCCTTCCAGCGTACGCCAGCGGCGAAGTGGCGAAATGAGAGTGAATCGCATATCGATCTTAGTTCTCTCTCACAGCCTCCCGTCACAGCGGCACCGGCGTATCCTTTACGTACGCCGCGCACGCGTAGCGTACGCTGGCGTAGCGAGGGCACGGGAAGCATAGCTATCGATCTAGCTTCACCAGCGTTTCTCGAGCGTTTCTCCAGCGGCACCAGCGTTTTGCTAGCGCTTGCAGCGGCAGGGAGTAGAGACTAATGTGCCCGTCGGAGACGCAGAAGCGAAGTGGCAATTGATAGAGCTATGTCCCGTCGAAGACGCAGAAGCGATGTGCATTGTAGAGACTATGTGCCCGTCGAAGACGCAGAAGCGATGTGCATTGTAGAGACTATGTGCCCGTCGAAGACGCAGAAGCGATGTGCATTGTAGAGACTAAGGGCGAGTGAGAGACGCGCAATCGATGTGTTTTGTACCCTCCAGCTCTCCCATAGTCTCTACTCCCCTGCCGCTGCAAACGCTAGCAAAACGCTGGTGAAACGCTGGAGAAACGCTGGCGTACGCTAGCGTGCCGCTAGCGTGTACGCCAGCGTGCCGCTGAGGTGACGCTGGTGAAGCTAGATCGATATGCATCCTCTCTTCGGCACTGCCGCTGGCGTACGCTGGAAGCGCTACGCTACGCTGCGCTACGCTACGCTACGCTGCCGCAAAGTATAAACGCAGCCTAAGAACGCTAGGTACAATAGATGCCGCTGCATCACCAGCGGCAATCCCACGAGCATTCAGATCGGTAGCGTTATTCTACGATCTATGGCCTATGAGGTTACCTGGCGAGCCAGC